CAAATAGCATACTAGTGCATAAAAAATACTCTACTGTACTCCTGTACTAGGCCTCACCTATCTTGGACCCCGCCCCTGATCTTCTATTGATGAGTTGTGGAACGCTGTCCACCCTCCTACTGTTAGTGAGATACGGTCCCCCACCCACACTCACTCTCTCCTATCATGGGCCTCGCCCCTACTCTGCTAATATTGAGATATGGAACCCCATACATACTCAGCTAGTGATGAGATACGGGACCTCGCACACACTCACCTCCTTACCAGGCACATACAAATATCACAAAGAAAATAAGTATAATCTAACATGCACTTATAAATCTTCCTCAGGCTTACCCCAATATCGGACCCTAGTCCGGGAACTTACTACCATCTGAATGTACTTCGAGCTTACCCTGACATCAGATCTTGGTTCGGAACCTATGGTACTGAAACATGCAAGAATCGCAAAGACTTCTTGCATATTAATATTCCTCGGGCCTTACCCAACATCGGAGCGTAACCTAGAAGATATACAATAAGTGCCTTGGGCTAATGCCCGAGTCTTCCTATGATAGATATATATAATGGGCCAACATTGTGGTCGTAGACCCATGCACACAGTGAGGAGACTCACATCACACTACTGAAGACTAGTTGAACACTTCTGACTGTAACCGGCAACTCCTGAACTGCTGCTCCTTCGGCTCCCCGAACTATCAATACCCAAAATAACACTTAGACCAGAATACCCTCAAAAGTCAACCCAGGTCAAACTTGGTCAAAGTCAACGCTTCGAGTTGACTCAACTCGCCGAGTTTACTCACCAACTCGTCGAGTCCCACAATCCACACATAACTTTGGACTTTGATCCTACACGTCGAGTCTTCCTTGAGCTCGTCGAGTTCACCTTTAAACACGTCAGGATTCATTTAGAACCGACTCGCCGAGTTCACCTTTGAACTCTTCGAGTTCATCTTCATAAGGTAGGGATATTGCCTTAGACTCTCCGAGTTCATTCCTTGAACTCATCGAGTATGATGATTTTCAAGTCCATAACGAACCCAACATTCTGATTCCTCTACCAACTCAACACACACCCGCTAACAGAAGGGCTTTTGGCAAGAAAACAGTCTGACTCGCCAAGTCCTAAGAGCAACTCGTCGAGTCCTCCTAAGTCCAACTCTATTTAGATGATTTTAGTCAAGCACAAAGCATCCAAAACATAGATCTGGACCCACCCACTTCATAACCATGCAAAGCTACTTCCATTTTCTCCACTCGTGGCGTTTTGAGCTAAAAAGGCCAAAAGAACACTTCTTATGTTTGTATGGGAATGTCTATGGCATAAAGCTTGCACCTTTATGCCATAACAACCCTTAATGGTGCTAGATCTGAAAACATAAGCCCTTGGGACGTCCATTCCTCTCATGCTAGGGTTCTTGGACCAAAAACCCCCAAAAGTGACAAAGGAGAGATCTATGTGCATAATGGTCAAGATTGAAACTTTCTTACCAAAAATGGAGGAGGATGCAAGACGTTTCTGGATCTACTAGTCTCTTCTTGTATCCCCAAGGCTTCACCTTCTTCTTCAGGCTCCAAAACACTCAAGGATGCTCACAAATGGCTCACAAGCTCATGGAAGGCACTAGGGCTTCGCTTTGGACTTGAGAGAGCGTTAAGGAGGCTGAGGGAGTGTTATAATACTCTTTAAATAAGGTACAAAGCCCGAATTTAGGGTTTTACAAACCCATACCAGCTCACCGAGTCGGTCCCCCGACTCGTCGAGTAGGTCATTTAACCTACGGCCCATAACGTGCTCCTACTCGTCGAGTCATCCCATCAACTCGACAAGTCGCCTCCTGATTTTTGAGGTTTTTCTAACCTTTCTATGCTTCTGAATTTGGGGTGTTACATAATACATATATAGATATAGTAATATCAGCATCAGAAAAACCATAATTCATATTATTA